TTAGTGAACTTATGAATGAAGGAATTAACATACCAAAATGGCAGAATCTTTTGTCACTGCAAACTTGAATGAGAAACTCCGTGAATCTTAAAAGGAATATAAAAATATGATGAACCATAAGCATGAGAATATGAGTTTAGAGCACGTCATTATTGATTTCAGAATTGAAGAGACTAACAGGAAAAAAAGTGATTTAGAAAGGGCTAGAGATTTTACTTCTAATGCAAATTTGATACAAGAGGGAAATAACAATAGAGAAAGTTAAAAAATCTCTACAAACAAAAACAAGGAAATAAAAATTTTAAAGTTAAAGAAAATGAACAAAAGAAGAAAAGTGATTGTTTTGTTTGTGGAAAATCAAGTCATTTTGCTAGACAATGCAGACACAAAAATTAAACGACCAATCAATGTCAACATTGTAGAAACCAATGATGTTATTATTGTTGTAATCTCATAAATTAATCTTGTTGAAGGAAAAGTATGAGCTATAGATTCAGGAGCCACTCGTCATATATGTACAAATAAAAATTTATTCTCCTCCTATACTAATCTTGGCGAAGAAAAACAAGTTTTCATGGGAGATTCTAGTGTTGCAAAGGTTGTTGGAAAAGCTGGTGTTAAAATTAGATATAATTTGGTTTCTATTTCCTTACTTGGAAAAGCTGGTGTTAAAATTATTTTGTGATAAAGTAGTATTAACAAAAAAATAACAACTTAATTTGTTGGAAAAGGTTATGTGAGCAATGGTCTATTAATATTAAATGTTATCAATGCTAATATATAATAAAACTTTTTCTTCTTCTACTTATTTACTTGAGTGTATGGATTTACGGCAAAGTAGATCGGGGCATGTTAATTTTTCTTATTTTAAGAAAATGCATGAATTAGAAATATTATAAAATCTATCTATTTTTAATTTTAACAAGTGTCTCATTTGTGTAGAGGCTAAATCAACTAAGAAAGCAAGCAAATATGTAATCAATAGAGAATCTGAATCATTATCTTTAATTCATTTTTATTTAGGAGATATGAAAAATAATATATCTAAAGGTGGAAAGAAGCATTATGTGACATTTATTTATGATTTTTTTAGATTCACGTATGTATATTTACTTAGAAATAAAGATGAGGTCGAATCAAAATTTATGAAATATAAAGCTTAAGTAGGAAATAAATTAGAAAGAAAAATGAGAGACTTAGAACTGATAAAACAGGATAATATGATTCAAGAATACTTAGTTTTTTTAAGCTAATAGTATTATTCATGAGGTAACTCCATCTTATTCACTTGAATCTAATGTTATAGCTGAACCAAAAAATAGAATCTTAAAAGAAATGATGAATGATATGCTCATTAGTTCAGGTGCTCCTGATTATTTATGGGGTGAAGCTATTTTATATGCATGTCATTAAAAAAGAAAAGTATTTTTAAAAATTCTAAAAATACACCCTTTGAATTTTGGGAGAATAAAATACCTAATCTAAAATATTTAAAAGTGTGGGGTGTCTTGATAAGGTTCTTCCACCAAATCCTAAGAAAAGGAGGAGATTGGGTTCAACAACATGTGATTGTGTTCTCAGAGGATATGCATAATATAGTACAAACTATAGATTTATGTTTCTTAAGAGTGATGTTATATAATCTAATACTATTATAAAATCTAAAAATGAGAGACTAAAAAGATTGGATGCAAATGAATCTTTAGGAAAAAACTCAAACCAATAGATCAATTGAAAAATATAAAGTTAGTTTGGTGGTTATAGGATAAACTCAAAAGAAAGATCTTGAATATTTTGATACTTATTCTCCTGTTGCTAGAATTGCTTCTATTAGAACTCTTATAGCTTTAACTTCAATAATTAAATTACAAATTCATCAGATGGATGTGAAAACTATCTTCTTAAATGAAAATTTAGAAGAGGATATATATATGGATCAACAAGATGGTTTTATAGTACATCGAACGGAAAATAAAGTTTGTAAGGTTAATTAAGTTTTCATATGGACTAAAATAAGCTCCTAAAATGTGGCATGAGAAGCTTCATAATACATTAATATCTAATGATTATAAGATTAATGAAGCTAATACATATATTTATTATAAATTTGATTGTTCAAAATCAAGAGTAATTATTTGTATTTATGCATATGATATGCTTATTTTAGGATCTAATCTCTCTAAAATTGTAGAAAATAAATATTTTTTATCTTCAAAATTTGAGATGAAGGATTTAGGAGAATCATAAGTAAAATTAGGAATAAACATAAGAAAACAAATAGATGGAATTATAATTTCTCAAAAACACTTTGTAGAAAAGATGTTGAGGAGATTTTAAACATTTTAATTCTATATCAGTTAGTACTCCCTATAATGCTAGTAATTTTACTTATGTATAAACATTAATCGATAGTACTCTAACACAAAAAAATTGAAAGCTGTAAAAATCAATAAAGGTTCATCAAATATAATGTAACACAATCAAAATTCACTGTAATACATAGCTGGATTTGAAAAGAATGTTCTAGAAAAGAGAATAAAAAAAACACTTCTTCATATCTTTATAATATTATTAGATATCTAAATAGTACATATAAAATGAATTTGTATGTCTGATTGTTGACTAGTGAAAGGCTTCTGTTGTTAGAGCATAAGATGGTTGTGTGAATGAACCAATGCAGTTCACAAAATCATATCCTATGATTGTTAGTTATCCAAAATTCAGATTGAATATTTCTTGCCCAACTTCAGCATGAACTACTCATTTGCAACTAACATAAGAAAAGATATATTATTATCTTTCATTTTTTTAGCAGCCTATGACAAGTTGGCTGGACTTGTAGGTCTTGTGGCCTTTTTATCTTTTGTCTATTTTTCGATATTTGGATAGCTAACTATTATCATTGAAGGTTTGTCAAATTACTAGCTTTTAATTATGATTAAAACTTATTCTGATCTAGATTGAAACATATTCAACTCACTTGGAAATATTGTTTGAAGCTTATGCAAATCTTATTTGTATTTCAAAAAATAGTTGAAGAAAGCTTTGATTATGATTCAAAAATATTTCAATTATGGTCTAAATAAATTTTCATCATTGTTATTGTTGGAGCATTGTTCAAACAATTGGCAATACTGAGTAAGATTCAACTAATGTTTTTAAAACTTTGAGCAAAATTAAAATTTATTATTTTGCACTCTCTATTTATATGGTTATTAACTCATTTAAGTTTGTCTTGCTATGCATGTGTATATCTGCTCTATTCATATATGTTGAGAAGCATTATGGTTCCTATGTCATATAGTAAGTTGGGGGTATGATAAAAAAAATTCATTAGACAGTTTAAGACTAATAACATCATTGTGATATTATATATGAGATGATATTTTATGTCACCTTGCACTTCACTAACATTTTTTAATAACAAGTCCATTTAGATGCAATGCCCTCTTCAAATTATACAGATTAAAATGAAAGCATCTCTTTAATTAATTATGCTTTTGGATGGAAGTATGGAACCTTGAACTTTAATTAGAAGCTGTTTTATTTGCTAAAAAAATAATGTAGAATAAATTGTAATACAATAAAAAAAGGAAAGTAATGTATTTGAAATGTTTTGAATTATTTAGATGAGTGTAAAATAAATGTACTTGATTACTTTTTTTATATTACTGAGGAGTGTCAATATTTGACACGACCCTAACCCTATCCGAAAAATTTTGAGTTTGGGTTAACCCGTTTGCCTAACAGGTCGGGTCAGGTCAACCTAGTAACCTGCATGGGTCAGGTCCAATTTGTATTGCCTGTTTTTTTTTTTTTTTTTTTTTTGCCTGACTTGTTTGCCAAATTGGATCGGTTTATGATCAACTCGTTTGAACCCAGGTTAATTTAGGTTGGATTCGAACCCGACCTGTTGACCTGTTTTAACACCACTAATTTTACTTGGAATGAATGATGTACAAAGCCAAACGATGATGGTGGCTAGAAGTTGGTGACGGATGATGTCGACCAATGACAATAATGTTCGATGGGAGCAAGCAGTGGGCAACAACTACAACAGAGGCAAACAAATTTTTAGTATATTTGTAAATCGATCAAACTTAATGATTTTCAAATGTACAAAAGTTAAATTATAGGGAGTTCCAAATATTTTTTTTTAAAAATTATTCTGCAATTCTTTACTTAAAGAAAACATCAAAATTTTGATAGGATCCATAGAATCAACACACACAAGTTGCAAAATAAAGTTCATGATTGGAGAATCAACTCATTAACCTCTGCAAGAAAGATGGATCTTTTGCTTATTATTAGAGGAGCAGAAGTTGTTGAATTTATTGTTTTATGCTTCATCTCTTCGGGGATTGACTCATCTCAATTTTCTTACCATGCATGCATAGGTTTGCTATCAGAAGTATAAAGAAGCTTTATACTGCTCAAATTAAATATCAAGCTAGGAGTAATGAAAATTAAAATAATTAAACAATATGAGTCTAATGATATTATTCTACTGAATATAAGTGTCTAAGACATAATATTTTAATAACTTTCATACATGAGAAGATATTTCGTAAGGCTTGACCACCTCATTATGCCATCTTCAAATAATTATGTAGCGCACAATTAAATATATTGTAAGAGCTTTTATATATTTTAAATTATATAAAAAAAAATGATCATGATCAAAACAATACTAGAGTTAAAATATATAATTAAACAATTTTGTTTAAAAAATTTACATTTCCATACATATTACACTAATGCCTACAGAATTAAGTTAACAAAATAAAGACCTTAAGCACATATACGTATAGAGAAAATCATACATATATACAAATGCTAGTCCATTAGCATTGCCATCAACATCTATATATTAGCAAAACATATATAAAAGAGCTTTGTAGAACCAAAATAAAAACACATAATATAAGGTTTGGCCAAATTCACATATTTTGATATGATCGATAGCATGGCACAAAAGCTTCAAAATAAAGAGATGATAATTAGTCATCATCGCCATCCACAATAGAGGAAGATGGAGGCTTTTCCTTCTTCTTAGGGGAGCAGAAAACATCAGTCAAAGCGGTTGGTGAGTCTAATGAAGCCCTAAGCAAAGCAAGTCCCTAAAATATTCAAGTTTAATAACATACATCAAATCAAAACAAAGTTATAGAACTCAAAGAAATTTAGTAGTTCAATAAAGAATTAACCTCTTCCATGCCGACGGCAACCACCTTCTCCTCTAGTTGGACATCCTTTTTCATGATGAAGCGATTGATAAGAGCAATGCTGGAGATCGCAGACATTGGTGTTACTTCCAAATCATCTGTAATCATGTAGGTGACCACTCCCTTTACAAAGCCTCCAACACCCTCCCCTGCATTTTCAGAACTAAAAGAAGAAGCAGAACCCGATGGAGCCACGAAGGCGATTTCGGTGACCATCGCACACTTGCAGGTTGGGCACAGGGTATTTCTCACAGTAGTGACTTTTCTATTGCAATAATTACAAAGATAGTATTTGAGCCCTACACTGGAGCCCGATGGAACCACAACGGTGGCTTCTGTGCCAAGAAGCAAATGATTTGTAACATAAGAAGTGGGCACTTCGGGTTGAAGTAAAGAGGCTTTGGCTCTGTTTGCTACAAGATAAATCTCGTTAAGATTTTCAACGCTTTGATAGAGTTTTCCAATTGATCCAATCATAGTTGGAGGAGAGACGAGCTTAATAACACAACCTAGTGGGAGAGTCAGAAGGCTGAACAAGAAATCTACGAAGTCTTTACCAGCCTCACCGAAAAGAACTTTGTGGCTACGAACATCGATCAGAAGTTTCAGAGTGATTTTTGACTTCAAATCTGCCATGGCTTCTTTGTAGAGTTGTGAAAATGGGAGTATATAAGAAGACAACAAGCTCATATATATGAAGTATATATAGAGGTTACTTACGCCTGCTTGTTTGAACTTCCAACTACGCCTGCTAATTTCGACTTCCAACGTTAAAATTTTTCTGATAAAGATAGAGTTTTCTTGCCACTACTACAACTGACAATGAATTATAGTCTGCACCTGTGCAAAGTGCAAACGCTGCTCCACTCCACCTCAGTTACCGCAGAATCTCAGCTTCATCTTAGCCGTTCATTCATAACTAGTTGCTTACACTGTAACCGTCTGATTGCTGCCATTTGCTGGTGTTCAGATTATATATATGCATGCCCTGCATTGCAGACTAGAAATTGTCTCTACTGGCTCCATGGGGAAAAGAAAGTGCCGATTAGAAATTGGGAAGGAAAACAGTCCATCTAAAGAGCCTCTTGAAAAAACAACAAAATAAATATAATTTATTTTCTTTAATGTTAATTAAGAAACAATTAATACACGTAATTAAATATTCATTGAATTTTCGGTGCCCTGCCCTGCTGTAAGAAATTCTCTGTGTGAGCATTTAATCAAAACTAGAATGGTAAGTGTAACTACAGAAAAAATCAATTGAGAAAAGATGATTGTAACTTGTAAGTAAGGTAGCAAGTATAATAGCTGACTTGGAGGTCGTGCACTAATTTGTATGTAAAACTAAAGCCTCAAGCTTATAATTTCCACAATGAAAGCCAAAACTTTCATCAAACTACTGGTTTAGTTTACATGGCTGATCTTACTATAATAATATAAATTAAACTTTTATTGGGGATAATTTTTTTATTATTTTCTAAAATAATTTATAGCACAATTTTTTTAAAAATAGTAAAAAAATAGTGATCAAAATTGATTTTCAAATAGCTAGAAGACTCTCAAAACTGACTTTCTCTCTCTAAAATATCTATTTTATTGTCCATTCCTCTCTCTAGTTTCTCTCTCAAAATTTGAGAATGAAATTAAAATAATATTATTTTTTGCCTGTGCATTTGCAATTTTTTTAGTAATTTATACTTTTATAGTATCTTTTTTACTTCATATTCTTTCACAACTCCCATAAACTTTTTCAATTCTTTATTTAAACTCCAATTCGTTCATTTGTACAGCAAGCATAAGGTCAGTGCTCCCAATTCAACAACTTTAGCCAGCCGCCACATATCTAAATGGCCTCATAAAACAGGAAATAATGTTGATTATTTGATTGATTCTTTCATGCCGTCACTTAAGGAGCGATTGAATTTGAAAGAATTCAAACTCTTCGCTTACAAGTCTCCAAAAGCATAGCATATGATACTTTGTTTAATGGAACTGCTGCAGCTACTGTGAATGAGATGCCGTACCTCATGCTCTTTCCTCAATTTGTATTGCAGAAATTTAACCATGCATGGTTGGAAAAACTTTCATGACCGTTGGGTTTGGCCTTATAATTATAATATAATTTGCGTTTTTTCTGCGCAGAATTTGATTTTGTCCATCAATTAAGTTATATTGTTGACATAAAATTCAATTATATCTGTCGAGCTCATCAAAAGGTTGCAAGGGGTCGGGCCTCTCATGTTTGGGTTGGGTGAAATGTTGGAGAAAGAAAGCAGGGCGGCGCCGGGGCACTAGGACTCATGCTAGAGATAGAGAGTCAAGCACTACAACACTCCAAACTCAACACGACAATATTGCACTTTGTCTATTTTTCAATATTTTGATAGCCAACTATTGTCACTGAAGGTCTGAGATGTTATCCATTTAAACAAGTTTCATCTATAATGATGTTACATTATTGTACCTTGAACTTTAAACTTGGAATAACAGTAAACATCAAATTACTAGCTTTTAATAATTATTAAGGCTTCATTTGTACTGCTTTTTTATTGCTTCTTAAAGCAATTTTTTAGTACAAAATTTTTATACTAAAAAACTACTTTAAGAAGCAATAAGAAAACAGTCTCAAATGAAGCCTAAAACTTATTATTGTCTTGATTGAAAGATATTCAGCTCGCTTTGGAACATTGTAAGGCTTATGCAAATCTTATTTGTATTTTAAAAAATAGTCAAAGAAAGCTTTGATTATGATTCGAAAATATTTCAATTCTGGTCTGAATAAATTTTTTTCATAGTTGGAAATAGTTCAAACAATTAACAATATTGAGTATGATTCAACAAATGTTTTTAAAACTTTGAGCAAAATTAGAATTTATTATTTTGCACTCTCTATTTCTATGGGTATTAACTCATTTAAGTTTGTCTTGCCATGCATGTATATTCTATTCATATATGTTGAGAAGCATTATGCTGCTTATGTTGGGGTATGATAAAAAAGATCATTAGACAATTTAAGAATAATGACATTACATAGGAGATGATATTTTATGTCACCTACACTTCGCTTACATTTCTTATTATTAAGTCCATTTAGATGCAATGCCCGCTTAAAATTATATAGCACAAAATGAAAGCATCACATTAATTAATTATGCTTTAGAATAGAAGTATAGAATCTTGAATTTTAATTAGTAGTTGTTTGATTTGCCCAAAAAAGAATGATGAATAAATTGTAATAAAATATAAAATAAAAGTAATATATTTGAAATGTTTTGAATGGTTTAGATGAGTATAAAATAAATATACTCTAATTACTTTTTTATATATTATTTATAGGTGTCAATATTTGAACCCGACCATAATCCTACCTTAAAAATTTTAAATTTGGGTTAACCCGTTTGCCTAAGGGGTTGGGTCAGGTCCAAGTTGGATTTCTTGACCTGTTTGCAAAATTGGGTCACGCTATGATCAACTCATTTGGACTCGGGTTAATTTGGGTCAGATTTGATTCCAATCCATTGACCCGTTTTAACACCACTATCTAATATTACGTGAAATGAATGATGTGCAAAAAGATGGTGGTGGCTAGCAATTGATGGCAGATGATGGCCGCCAACAAAGGCAAGCAGTTGGTGGCGACCCAACAAAGGCAAAAAAAAAAATTAGTGTCTTTGAAAACCGATCAAATTTAATGATTTTGAAATGCACAAAGGTTGAATTAGAGGGAGTTCTAAACATTTTAAAAAAATTATTCTGCAATTCTTTACTTAAACCAAAGATCAATAATTTGATAGGATTCAAAGAATCAACACACACGTTGCAAAATAAAAAAGTTCAGGATTGGAGAATCAAGTCATTAACCTCTGTAAGAAAGATGGATCTTTTGCCTTGTTATTAGAGAAGGCAGAAGTTGTTGAATTTACTGCTTTATGCTCTATCTCTTTGGGGATTGACTCATCTCAATTTTCTTGCCATGCATGCATATATTTGCTATCAGAAGTATAGAGCAGCTTTATACTGCTCACATTAAACATCAAGCTAGGGGAGAAATGAAAATTAAAATAATTAAACAATATGAGCCTAATGATATTATTCTAATGAATATAAGTGTAATAGCCATAAAATTTTAATAACTTTCATATATGAGAAGATATTTGGTAAGGCATGACACCTCATTATGCCCTCTTCAAATTATGTAGCGCACAATTAAAATAGAGTTTTTATAATTTTCAATTGTGAAAAAAGATGACCATGATCAAAACAATACAAGAGTTAAGATATATAATAAAACAATTTTGTTTAAAAAATTTACATTTCCATACATATTATACTAAATGCACGCATAATTTAGTTAACAAAATAAAGATCTTGGGCACATATACATATAAAGAACGTCATATATACATACAAATGCTAGTCGATTAGCATTACCATCAACATCTATACATTAGCAAAATATATACAAAACAACTTTGTACAACCAAAAAAATAAGAAAACATAATATAAAGATACGCCAAATTCACATATATTGATAGGATCGATAGCATTACACAAAAAGTTCAAAATGAGGAGATAGTATTCAGTAACCATGATCATTCTCTATTGTGCTGAACAGAAGACATTTTTTTCATGATGGAGACTTTGCCTTGTTCTTAAGTGAACAGAAGACATCGGTCAAAGCAGTTGGTGAGTCTAACGAAGCCTTAAGCAAAGCTAGCCCCTAAAATAACCAAATTTAATAACCCACATCAAATGAAATAAAAATTTAAAAGTAACGAAGATCTCTGAAAAAAAAAAAAACATTAGTTTGATTATGAAGTAACCTCTTTCATGCCGATGGCGACCACCTTCTCCTGTAGTTGGACATCCTTTTTCATGATGAAGCGATTGATAAGAGTGATGCTGGAGATCGCAGACATTGGTGTCACTTCCAAATCATCTGTAATCATGTAGGTGACCACTTCCTTTACAAAGCCACCAACACTCTCCCCTGCATTTCCAGAACAAACAGAAGAAGCCGAACCCGATGGAACCACGAAGGCGACTTCGGTGACCATCGAATAACTGCAGTTCGGGCACACGGTGTTTCTCACAGTAGTGACTTTTCTTTTGCAATTACTACAAAGATAGTATTTGAGCTCTACAGTGGTATTTGTGCCAAGAAGCAAATGATTGGCAACATAACTGGACACTTTGGGTTGAAGTAAAGAGGCTTTGGCTATGTTTGCTACAAGATAAATCTCGTTAAGATTTTCTACGCTTTGATAAAGTTTTCCGATAGATCCCATCATAGTTGAAGGAGAAAGGAGCTTTATAATAGAACCTAGTGGGAGAGTAAGTGATGCGGTCATCAGTTAGTTATCCTGCTCTTGCGGAACATCCGTTCCAGCTGCCTGACGCCTGGACAAGCGGTTATGGAGCAGCTTTTGCTATTTACTGTTTTTCTTTAATTAAGCACTTTTTAATTTACTTTTGCTTTATTACTCTTGTGGGGAGGTAATCCCGGTAGCTTCTTCTTCATTAGAAACTTATTTTGGCTTGAGAAGCCTTGTTACTGTTCCATTGGGAACTTCCCATCCGGGTTTCTTCTTTGTGCGTGTAATCGCTGCGTTACTAAGTAGGCTGAATAAGAAATCTACGAAGTCTTTACCAGCCTCACCGAAAAGAATTTTGTGGCTACGAGCATCGATCAGAAGTTTAAGAGTGATTTTTGAATTCACGACTGCCATGGCTTCTTTGTAGAATCGTGAAAATGAGAGGATTTATTGATTTAAGAAGACAACAAGCTCACATGAAACATATATAAAAGTATATATGGAGGTTACTTACGCCTGCTTGTTTGAACTTCCAACTACGCCTGCTAATTTCGACTTCCAACGTCAAATCTTTCCGATAAAGATATAGTATTCTAGCCGCTAAAACTGATAAGGAATTATAGCCTGCACGTCTACAAAGTACAAACGCTGCTCCACTCCACCTCACTGCTCCCTGTTACCGCAGAATCTCAGCTTCATCTCAGCCGTTCACTCATAACTACGTGCTTGCACTGTCGTCAGATTGATGCCTTTTGCTGATGTTCATATTTTATATATGCATGACTTGCCGGAAGGGATGTCAGTGAAAAGACAATACTATTTCTTTCTCTGTGTGAGCATTTAATCACACCATAACGGCTACTGTGATATGGAGCTGATGGAGTGGAGCAGCATTTGCACTGGAGCAGACTATAATTCATGATCAGTGCTAGTATGGCAAGAATTTAACCTTTATCAATTTTTTTTTTAATTTTTTTAAGACATTTAGGCAAATAAAATAGACTCAGACACGTACCACATATATAGATTTCTTAATTAATAATTTAAGCTCACAACCAAGTTGAGTTTTGTGACCTGTGTCACTTTCCATTCTTTTAATGTATCATAAATGTTGTAGGATTCGAACTGTACAGAGATTTAAAAAAAAAAAAAATCTATCTGGTATTTTTTTTAAAAGAAAATTTAAGGATATAGCCCAATTTTCATTAAAAAAAATTCTTTACATATATAAGCTTGTTAGAAAGATACAATCAATAGAGAAATTTCAGCTTTGAGGTAGAAAAACAACAAAAAGTAAAGCTGAACTGCAACAAGAAAGCCAGCAGGATCCGGGTGGCTGAAAAATGCTTTCATAACTTTTTTTCTCATTTGTTATCATTTCCACAGGCTAATTGCTTCCTTGCCTGGCTACGACAATCCTATGTTTACTTTATTTTCATTTATATATTATTGCATATGATCAGATTTAAATTCATTAATAAAATAAATGTTACAAATTAAATCACTTAATCTAATAAAATAAATAAATTGACAAATGAATAAATTTGTAAATATAAGATTGTTTCGACCATTTGAGAAATTATTTCTTGTAAAAGCATTCCATGAGAAATAAATTTTCTTTTAGTTTTTATTTTATGAACATTAGAAAAGCTTGAACGTAATATGATAAATTCAATTCAAATTATTCATCTCCACAAGTAAGAAAATCCTATATGCTTGTGCAATTTTCATTCTTCGTGCAGCCTCTTTGGAAAAATTATTGCGTCCTCCCACCTGACGTAGAGATACGTCCTCCCACCGCTAAAATCGCGTTAAAAAATAAGAAATACCAAGCAAATACCGAGCAATACCAAATAATAACGAGGAATATCATCATGTTAAGATCAATACCGAGCTATACCGAGCAATACCGAGCAATACAAAAAAATACCTAGTTTTTCCTTGAAAAACTCGGTATTGCTCGGTATAGCGCGGTATTACTCGGTATAACTCGGTATTGGTCTTCACATGATGATATTCCTCGTTATTACCAAATAATAGCTAGCAATATCGAGCGAAAACCGAATTTTTTAGCAGTGGGAAAACGTATCTCTACGTCAGGTGGGAGGACGCAATAATTTTTCCTCTGATGAACTGATGCAAAGCCTTGTCAAGAATTTAAAATTTTAAAATATATTTTATGAGATGATCATGATCAAAATATATTTTAATATTTTTTAAATTACATTTAAGAATATATTTAAAAATATATTAAAGAAATTTCATATTTTTTAAATTATAAAAAAAGATGATCATGATCAAAATAATAATAAAGTTAAATATATAATTAAACAGATTTTGTTTGGTAAATTTACATTTCCATACATATTACACTAAAAGAAGACATGATTAAGTAATAAAATAAAGACACTGGGCACAAATACATATAGAGAAAGTTACACTTGCATACAAATACTAGTCCAAATATCTTAGCAAAACTTATACAAAAATCTTGTAAAACAAATACACATGATATAAGGATAGCCAAAATTCTCATATTTTTATAGGATCATAGCATTACACAAAATGTTTAAAATAGGGAGATAGTAATCATTAATCATAATAATTCACAAAAGAGGAAGGTGGAGGCTTTGCCTTCTTCTTATTAGGTGAACAGAAGACATCAGTCAAAGCAGTTGGTGAGTCTAACGAAGCCTTAAGCAAAGCAAGCCCCTAAAACAATCAAATTTAATAACACGCATCAAAATGAAATAAAAATTATCAAAGATCTATAAAAAAATCATTAGTTTGATTATGAAGTAACCTCTTTCATGCCGACGGCGACCACCTTCTCCATTAGTTGAACGTCATTTTTCATGCTGAAGCGATTCATAAGAGTGATACTAGAGATTGCAGACATAGGCGTCACTTCCATGTCATCTGTAATCATGTAAGTGATTACTCCCTTCACAAATCCTCCAGCATTCTCCCCTCCAGTTTCGGCTCCAGTAGCTAAAGAAGTAGAATCCGATGGAACCACGAAGGCAGCTTCGGTGACCATCGCCTGCTTGCAGTTTGGGCACACGGTGCTTTTTACAGTAGTGACTTTTCTATTGCAATGATTACAAATATAGTATTTGGGTTCTGCAATGGCTTCTGTGTCGAGAAGCAAATGATTCTTAACATTAGTGGACACTTTCGGTTGAAGTAAAGAGGATTTATCTCTGTTTGCCACTAGATAAATCTCGTTAAGATTTTCTACGCTTTGATAAAGTTTTCCAATAGATCCAATCATAGTTGTAGGAGAGAGGAGCTTGATGACAGAGCCTAGTGGGAAAGTAAGAAGACTGAACATGAAATCTACGAAGTCTTTATCAGCCTCACCGAAAAGAACTTTGTGGCTACGAACATCGATCAGAAGTTTGAGAGTGATTTTTGAATTCAAATCTGCCATGGCTTCTTTGAAGAGCTGTAAAATTGGGCCGGGAGGATTTAAGAAGACAACAAGCTCATATGGAGTACATATAAAGGGTTGCTCATGCCTTCTTCTGTCAACTTCCAACTACGCCTGCTAATTTGAACTTTTCCAACGTTTCCCCAAAAAAAAAAAAAAAACTTTTCCAACGTCAAATCTTTCTAACACTTTAAATGTATCATAAATGCTGTAGGTGATCTGGAGGCCAGCGAAAGGCTCGAGTGAGGGAGGGTCACGGGAGCTGGTGACCTTCGTGTGAGAGCGCTAGATGAAAAAAACAAAAAAGAGGCTTACCTTACCTCTCTTGCCAGCTACTGCTATGTGCGTGAAAACGGGGTGACAAAGGTCCTTCCATTCCCCCAAAAAAAAGACAAAGGTCCTTCCAGGTTATTATTATTATTATTATTGAAGCGGGGACTTTCGCTGCTTGTCTCTTGTAACAAAGAAGTGTCACTTGCTTTAAATGAAATAGTAAAATCATTTCAAAATGTTCCTTTCAGATATAAATGATGACTTCAGAGAATCAAATGGTTGATTTAGTCAACTTTTCTATTAAATATGAGAGAGATAAGAATTGAGACTAAGGGCATCTCCACCGAAAATCTCTCTTTTTTTTTTCTCACTTCTAAAAAAGTAACCGTCTTAATCCTCTTAGGGGCGTTTCTTCGACAAATCCGTTAGAGATAGAAAAATAACATGAGTGAACAGTGCAACGTCAATATTGACGTCGCACTGTTCATCTGCAACCAAATACAAAAAGTTTTGCTGTTCGGCTGGAACTCGCGAGCGACGTCATTCATGTGTTGAAAGTTCGGTTGGAGATGCCCTAAGGAGTGAGAAAAGAGATCATGTAAACAAGGTGACACATCTCACTTTACTTCTAGATTCAGTGCTTACTGCTTAGGATTGGGTCATTGGAACATTTTGATATAACCTTTGACACCGGACCGGAGGGGGCTCGACAAATCCACGTCAATGATCTGGTGGCCGTGGCCGGATAACTCCAAGAACTTCTTGGAGGATGGATCCATCACCTAAGAATCACTCTTAGGATACAAGAAAACAAACAAACTCAACTCAAATCTTATTAATCTTCAATTACAAACATTACTACCGATTTATAGACAAAGGTAGCAACCTATTAGGCTACACAACCAAAAACAAACAATAATCCGATGTAGCCATTTAACTACCAATAAGAATTAACTATCCTGAAGTTAATACAATTAACGTCTCAGCTCCAACCTCAACCTTACTATCATTGATGTCCGAGTGAGTGCACCCGTGGTGGTAGATGAAAGTTTGTCAAACTGCGTTGAATTATATTCACTGTAATAAAAAAATCTTCGAGACATGAATGAACAAACAAATGAAACTGTGTTCAATTATGAATTTGCATTACTTTTCATCATTAATTCTCAACGAGTGTGATGATAACTTAATGAATTTTATTTCATATGCTAAAATATTGTCTTTCTGTTTTAGATTTCTGTCATTTCCTTATAATTTTGAAATTGTATATATTTGGTTTGTTACCTATATTTTTTTCTTTTATTTTAGATTTATAAATGAATCAGCACCGGAGAAGCACAATCTTCGACTCGTCCTCCATTCAATGCAACTCAAGGACAAGGACGAACGCAAGGATTCCAACGCGTGAGTTGCCAAATTTGCGGCAAATTCGGGCAAATTCGGACATATAGCTCTGCATTGTTGGCATTGGGCTGATCTAAACTATACTCCACCGACCGCAACACCTAGAAGAGCACTCTACTCCTCCACATCCCCAGCATCTCCAAACTGGTACCTGGATTCTGGAGCAACAGCCCACATTACCGCCGATGCAGGGAATCTCAAACAGCCTAAACTTTACTCTGGTTTAGATGCGATATCCATCGGAGACAGCTCATCCCTTCCAATATATAGCACAGAAGACGGGCTTCCACTGACAGGGGCGGATCCAGCTTCTTTTTTTAGGGTGTGTAAAAAAAAAAATTTTGTAGGAGATGTGCAAAGATGCTTAGGATTGATAAAAGTATAGGTAAAAAAGATTTTTGAGGGGGGGGGGCAAAATGCCTAAAATACCCAAAATATTTCAAAATCTCCCCTCTAAATATTTAAATTTTTTTTTTTGAGGGTGGGCATTTGCCCACCCTAAGCTATGGGTGGATCCGCCCATGATTCAAATATATCGTTGAA